TTTTTTTTGCAAATAAATTCTGCTGGCTAGAAAATTCTTTTCAATTTATTAATACAGCTGCTATATTACTATACAGAGAGTCTCTGCAAACAATGGTTAAGTTTAATCTTCATGGCACGCTTGATGGTGACCAATTAAGTCTCTCGCGTTCAAGAAATTAATGAAGATTGTTGATTCAAGTGCCCTTGCCATTTGCCTTGGTCAGGGTTGTAAAACTTAACCTGAAATAAAGCAGAGGGAAGAAATGTTAGTCCCTTCTGGATAAGTAATGTAAACATTTACCGGTGACAAATTAAGCCAATGGTTCTATTAATTTAGACAAGGGAATCACCTGATAAGGGACTTTCGAGGGGCCAAGGAGCCTAAACGGGGTGCCACATTGGTGTTAGATGCGGTAAGTTCCTCGACCTGTCAATTTCAATTTACAAGGGAACAGAGAAGATTAGCTTCGATAATCCAGAAATAATGCTATAAAAACTACAGCTTTACTTGCATCAGTCTGCATGGCTAATGGTCATTATCATATATTTTTACCTAAATAAATACAGTAACAGTTAATTTATTGTCATCAGTCAGCATCAGATGGGTTAAAAACGGGGAGGGGGGAATTCCTAGTTTCAAATCACTTTAGATTCATATTGTTGCCTAAATAAATAGACAATAGCTATTGTTTACTGTCAAAGTATCCTAGTTCATTGGATATTCTCCCTTTGTACAATTAGCAAGCCTTCCAAGCTAAGGAAGACCCATTCCGTGAATGTAATACATTTCCAGGTTTCTGTCAAATCCGAGGTCTTAGCATGTCATGGATATCTAGTAATCACTAATAAGATGCCATCCACTTTTAATAATATCAGAACTGCCTTCTGTGCAGCCATATAAAAGTTTATATGAATTGGAAATGGTTGAATAAGAAACTAGAGTAAAATTTAATGGAACATCTATTGTGGAAGTTAGAAGGTCTACCTCAGGCTCCGCTGTCTCTGTGGCCTTGCTCTGGGAAAAACTAGAATAATCTCTGACAACTTTGCTTGTGGGTGCTGCCTCTAGATCCAATGTTGACGAGGAAAATGGATTGACTACCATCTTAACACGTCTCACTGATCCTGCATCATCTTCAAGTTTATGGGTTTCCTTTTGGGAATCATGCTGGCCAAAAGATGAGCGAGAAGTGTCCAAGGCAGCAGGCTTCTCCACTTCAGATGAGCTAGAAGAACAAGTCAAAGGATCCTGGACAGGGCTATGGTGTGAAGAATTCTCAGAAACACAGCTTCCATATTTGGTACTCTCCTCAGCATTCACTACAACCTGTCTATTTGCTCCTGGATCCACTATCACATTCACATCCTTGTTTACTGCCAAAACAGTAGATTTCTTCAACTTACTGCCAGCGTTGTTTTCATCCCTTCTTCTTTTACTTCCACTGGATTTTCCTTCCAGATGATGAGGCCTGACTCCACCAGGGAAGACAAAATGAGGAATGTCTTTTTTTCTTCTATAACATACTTGGATTGACATTCCAGGCTTCCAAAAGTTGTACTTCCCCACTGAATGCCTAAAGTCCTCAATGGTTGACCTTAAATCAAATTGCTTGCCTGCCTGAGTCTCAACTCCTTGTTTTCGCTGCAAGCCCATGAAGTAACAGCAGTGGAAGGATCTGGATTTGTCACAGAATTCACCAGGGTGTGGATGGCATTGGAGCAAACCACGTGTATCTCTTTCAATCTAAAACCATATTTACCAAATAAGAATGAAAGATCTCAACTAAAAAGCTACCTACAGGGAAAATGGAGAAAAAGAAAGATATTACCTTCATAGTAAGCAGACGAAGTCTTGATTTAATCCAGCCTTTCCATTTCTTCAAGTCGTCATCATTCTCAGCAGCTATGTCTATCTGCAGATAATTATTGTATGCCTCAAAGAAATGGAAAGACTCAAAGAGACTAATCCATCCAGAATTCTTTGCCTCCACTGCCTGATGTCATAATGGAAAATCAAGATCAGAATGTCATAAATCAAGACTGCAGATTCATATCCATGATAGATTGTTGTATAGACAAAGAAATAATATCTCATAGTAGTCTGATTTCTTTCAAGCAAATTCAAACAATTCTACCATAATCAAATATACACAATATTAGCTGGAAAAGTATGACTGGTGATGCCAGCACACGCAATACAGTTTTTTTTTTTATTTTTATCAGCGCACACGCAATACAGTTAACTAGAAAAGACCTTTGAAAAAGCACTAACAACGCAGTTATGATGATTAAGGAGTTCATGGAAAGTTGAGAAACATTGAAATGGTCAAGAAACATAATGCACATACATTCCCATGGAAATATTCTGCTGTCAATAACAATAATAAATTAAAACCATGTCCATGGTGAAAAATGCCTAAATATGACCTAGTTACTACAGATACACTGAAATAAGCAAAGCATATACAAAAGTGCTGTGGTGAATTATTAAAAGATTATAACTCAATGCCCCTTTAAAATTAGAATCAAATGCTGGTAATGGGATTGCTGAAGAATGATAAAGTATTGGAAACAGAAAAGGCTAAGGTGATATCTCTGCATTCTGGGTAGCTGAAAAAATTGAAGCCTGAAATTATATACACATACCTCGCACGCTACATGTCCCCTTTGAAGTTCTTCCTGCATAACGTGCAAAGTACTTGCTGATACATTATAGCTAGAATTCATGCAAGGATATGCAGGAGTAATTATTGGCATTAAATGTCTTCTGTCACTGACATTTTGAGTAGGATCCCAGACAGGAAAACCTAGAGATCTTTCTTGAATGGGACATAGCATAACTGGGTTAGGCCATTTCCATTGAGCAAACAACTTGAAGAACCGGGACACCAATGTATTTGGCAGTGCATTTGGGTATAATTGGCATACACGAGCAACAAGCAGAGCCCAATTTATACCACCAAGGAATCCTGCAACCTGATCATCAGAATTTGAGATGTCATATATTCCATAAGAAAAAAAAAATAGAAATGGAAGAAAATGAGGAAAAAGCTGTAGTAAAACCAAGACACTAAGACACGATTAGCTTACATTTGAATAAACCCCACGCTGTTTTGCCCAATATCTTATGCATCTCAATGTGGTTCGAAAGTTCTGGATCATGATATAAAAAAGATAAGCAACAGAAAGACCTAAATGTTAGATAGCAAAAGGGTATATGCATGAATCAATAGCAAGATCAAACCTGGACATTTGGAACCAAATGCAAAATTTGGTCAGTGACTCTGCAGCCATTGAGGCTAAGAATGGTTTTCTCATCAACATATTGGAGTACTGATTCTTGTGATAAATCCAAGTCCTGCAAGAGTACTAGGTTAAAATAACCACTGTGATAAACTCTAGAAGAAGCAGGGTAACTAACCCCCGTTATTAATTTTTTTAGTAAAGATAGTGTCTCAAACACCGCAAAAAGGGCAGGAAAATGGGTGCAACGTCAACAGAGAATTCCAATGAAAAACTTAAATTTCTAAAATAATTAATGGAATTAAACTCCAAGAGGATAGAGGAACATAAACAAAACTATAAGAAAATATGAGTCTGTTTAAAATTTTGTATGTAGCCCTGGACTTATAACTCAGCATTGTTATTTTCTATTCTAATAAACTAATAATTTTTCCAAATAGTTCTGATTTTCTTGAACTTATATAAAAAGATGAAAGAAACAGAACTAAGGGTGACTGGAAGCTATTGGTGATACAGGTGAAAAATGAAGAGCTTATGGAAAAGACAAAAGATTGAACTAGAAGAATGGAAAACTAAATAAAAAAGGTTGAAGGAATTTACCTCAGGAATAATCCAATGTTCTAGTTTTGCATAAAGTAGATCAATAGAAACCCCTTTTAGTTTAAATTTCATCACAGGAACATAAGCATCAGGCACAGGATGTAGCTCTTCTACTTCAGGAATGTCTGCAAGCATTCTGTGAAGCTCACCAAAAAAATCTCCCTGCAATAAATAGAATTGCACTAAGCCAAGCAGAAGGTAGGAAAACAGAAAGAGAGAAAAAGAACAATATTTCCAAAAGTCAGATGCAAGCTCATATCTTACCTCTCGTGTAACATGTCTAGGTCCAACACATAAGGTGTCTATATCTGCACCAGGTCCATGCACCTAGATTTAAAATAGTTAAAATCAAAAAATAGTTTCAACATTCTACAAATTCAATGAAGAAGTACAATGCAATTTCAGCATAGACCACATGTTTGTCTCTCCAATATATTCGCCAAATCATGATATATGATAAATACTATATATTTTTTATCATCCAATGCCACATCACATACTCAAACAAAATAGAGCATGCCCAAAAAGCAAAAAACAAAAATATTGCACTCATCAATGAGATTTTTCTTTGTATGTTCCTTTCTCAAGAGTTACACCCATCACTAAGTTAAAAGAAATGAAGGATCAAAGTTCATACCCCCAATCGATAAGAGCCAGAGGTGAAGATTTTTGCATTTGCTTCTTGGACCAGCTGCTCATTGAACCCCTTAGCCTCCGTGACCTTTTTCACCCATTCTTTCACAATCTGTGAAATCCAGAAACATTAACAACACTGGCCAGAAATAAAATATGAAGGGGAAAAAAAAAATCAAACAGATCCAATAACTTTACCTGGTCTAACTTCCCTAGAACTTCCTCCCTTTTTATAGCTTCATCCTCTGTTTCATATAGTCCTGCATCTACAAGAATCTGATACATAATACTTCCATCAGATATCAACAAAATCATACTTTATAATTATCTAATTTATCTCTAAAATCTCCAAGGGAAAAATAATAATAACGCAACAAATTAGTTTTTGAACACATTATAACCATTTATAACAGTAATGTAATCCTTGACGAGGAAACCAACCTGCTCCAATTCTTGAGTTCTGATCACATCCAATTGAGAGGGACCAGCAGTCGAAATTGGTTCCGTCAATCCGAAGCGCAGTGCATTGGCTGGCTTGTTCAACACCACGCTGCCCATCCTACTTCCGTTCGATGAATCAAAACCTAATTGTCTTTTATTTTTTTTTCTTTTTTTTTTTTCAACAAACTGAATTCACAATTTTTTTTCCTTTTTTTTTTTATGCGATTGCTGTATTATGATGATTGCTGTATTATGATGTTTTTTTCAGCAATTAACTATAGAAAGCTATGTTATGAATAACGGATAAAAGAAAAGGAGGAAAGATTAAAGGAAGGCAGAAATTCACCAAATCACTAGCGAGAAAAGGCCAAGCAACAGAACAAATCAAAATCATTCATTCGAGTTCAATCAGAGCCAAATCTGGCTTCTACAACAGAATCAACCTTACAAGTACAGCGGGAAACTAATGTTCTCCTATTGTAATCACCGCAATCAAATCTCGAAACAACAGCGTCACCGGAGCAACACCTCTCACAGCAACCAATTAAAACCTGAGGCAACAAGCAAAAGGCCTCGATCAAGACGGCGGACAGCAGAACACTATAATCGTCACGAGATCAACCGGTACAGGAGCCGTGAAAACGCCTTAGGCTTGAGCAAAAGTTTCAGGCGGAGGTTTCCTTGCGATCTCGGTAGAGAGAACGAAACCCTAGGTCTTGATGGAGGCGAGATTCGAACCGATTGGTGCTATCGCTTCAGCTTCTGCGTTTTGCGTTGTTTGGGGAAAGAACGAAAGTGTGCGAAATTTTGGAGCGAAACGGAAGGGTTTATATCTTGGGAGTTGCGTGGGACCCAAGCGGTTGACCATTGCAGTCCAGAAAGTCGGTTAACGTATGTCAGTTAAAAGACCAATTCGTCCTTACCGTTTTTATTTTTATTTTTTGATTTTGCTTGGAAAAAAAAAGTATCGTTTTGCATTGGTTAAATCCCCATTTTGATCCCTGAACTATTATATGGACCCGATTTGGTCCTTGAACTAAAGAAATCCCTGATTTGGTCCCTAAACTATTGTACGGACCTCGATTTGGTCCCCACTGTTTATAATATGGCCTAAGTTGGTCCTTGAACTATTGTACGGACCCTCAATTTGGTTCTCTCTGTTTACAATTTCGCTCCAATTTAGTCCTTGAACTATTGTTTAACAGAAGGATCAAGTTGTAGCTAAATTGATAAATAGTAGGGACCAAATTGG